AGATACTGGATTTTTGTTTAATGCTCCCTCATAGAAAAAGTTGTTAAACGCAGTGACATCTTGTATACAAGTATATTGGAATAATATGCATATTTTTATTTTATAGAAACGAGGAGAGAAAATTCCAAACAATCGAGTAAAATGAATGTACCACCTCCTCCATTAACCTACAGACAGTATTCTTGGCTAACTTCTCAGCTTCTGTGCTGTAGTTATTTACAAAGGTTTCAGCTATATCAATATATCAATTCGATTTGAAATCGCTGCGAAAAAATTCTACACAAAAAAATAATTTGCAACGGAAACTAGAATTCCATAGTTCCTTCATTTTTGCAGTGCATTATATTCAAAGTTCAGCAAAGAAATGGAACAAGCTCAAAATACAGCGATTCCACACAACTCGAATCAAGAAGCAAAATACGAAATGATTATGGTAAAACGCCAGAGTATTCAGATTACCTATATCAATACATTCAAAGCAATTTAGATATAATATGGCAGTTCGTTCAAAATGCTCCACATGCTCAGAAAAAACATGAAAATCACTCGTAATCTGACGTCTCTGATTTGATTTTTATGATCCAGTAGGAACATTTATCTCTTGCTCAACTCAAACAAACAGAAAGCTTGATTTACTGCTCAACACAAACGAACACAAAGCAGTTGCACAAATCATTTCTGAACATAGCCTTATCTGAGTAATTTCCATATTTGTTTTGATTTGTTTTTGATTGAAGGTTATGACTGTTGATGTTGATGGAGAGAAAAGAAGATTAGATTGAAATGATAGAACCGTTGGCATTATTCGAGAATGATGTCTGAATTCGCGTCTGTTATCTTGGCAATGTTAACAATTCTACTCTTTTTTGCCATACTTATACATTCTTTTTGCATTTCTTGTCATTTTCTTCGTTTTTATTTGTGATCCAACTTGATCAATCTGATTTGATATTCCTGAAAATTCGCGGAGCAAATAAATCCTGCTTCAAGTAATCTATGGCAACTTGCTCTAGTCAAACGAGCACTAAATCATCAATTGCTCGGGCAAACGAACATCAAATATTGCTCACATCACTTTTTAGAGTGAGCATGACAAACGAACATGCCTTATATAAATTATGTATACCCAGAGTTGATCAATACATAGTTATTATTTGTAGAGATTATTCGGCAAACAGCATGAAAATTGAGTGATATTTTTGTTTAGGAGAGATATACCTCGTGAAGCAATCAAATCGCGTGGAACAAGAGAAGTAAATTCATTGAGACATCACTGATTTAATCAGATTGAATCGCTCAGGTTTATTCCACCTAAATTAAAATCAGTTTATTTCAAATTAACATGCGATGCAAACGTATAAAACACAATCCTCTGAAAGTCTGTTCTCTCAAAGTTTTCAATTGAATAAACCGAAATATAGTAGTTAATGAGATTTGTCTTGTTTCAGCTAAAGTAAGCACTTTGTTGGAAACGTTAATTTGAATGCTATCTGATAAATCTGTATTGCTGATGAGAACAGAATACTAACATGAAACGAAGCCTTCTTTGGTCTCGACAAGAAAGATAATGGAGAAAGGGTCGTTTCTTGTCAATAATAGTTATTTGTTGAACTAGGCAAAAAAAACATAACATTAAATGCCGCGGCCGGCGATTCATATATATCGAATAAGGCGTAGCCGACGCTAAAAAAACAGCCAAGGCATTGAATCTTCTTTTCTGCCATATGAAACATATAATTTTTTCTTCAAGATCGTTTCAATTCCACACAAAGTCCAAATAATCCATCATTTCTGTGCACCCACTGTCATTGTCAATTTTGTTTACCTACAAATTTTGATACAAATCAATACTTGAAACGTTGCATAGCAGCAAACTTTTTCTGCTTAGGCACTAATAAGCCACTTTCAATGTCATTTGGTTAAAAAGAGATTTTGTATCGACAATGACACCCCTATTAATTGATAATCGTTTAAGAATGGTCTAGGAATGGTCCTTATTCCATGTATAGGTATGCGCAAAAAATGTTTGTGTCATATATATCATTGCAAACGAGCAGTACGCTCGAAATTTTTTGATGAGATTTCAACATTTCACAGAGAAGTTTCCACAAACAATTTAGGCATCGTCAAACGCGAAGCAAAGAATTGAAACCTATAACCCATCAATACCTAGAACCGAGCCTAAAACGCATATGGCAACCCTTGAATTTTTAGACACAAGCACCAACTACGATATTTTACCATATACTCATTGTGGTATTGCGTCATCTACATATATAAGCCCCTTTTTTCAATTATTTCCAGTGGGAGTTTCGAATTTTCGATTGAATTATTCTCATTTTTCAATTGCCAATGATTCATCGGGTCTGTCAAAATACATATCACGTGTTGTTCCAAGTTCTCCATGCTATGAAATACCTATAGTGGATTTCAATACTTGCTCAAACAAAGTACAGAGTTTTGTGTCCATAAAGTATCCCCCTACCAGTTAACTTTTGAACTGCTGGGATTTGTCATCATCAATTTCTGCTATAATGGTAGGTCGAAGGTTTCATTTTTGAAAAAAAGCATTTTACCTAGCGTTGAGAGAGAAAACGAAATGGCTTCCTCATCTGCCCTTGTCTTCAGTGTTCCAATGTGAAATAATAGAAATTTTATGTTGGAAATAGGGAAAAATGGAGAAGATCATATTAACCTCAATATGAATGAGGTAAGAATGGTCTTCTTCTCTATTCCTTTCCATTTCCAGTGTTGCTGACATGAAATTTCGATTAATTTTTGTTGGAACACTGATGACAAGGACAGATGGAAAAGAATTGTTTTGTCTTTCAACGCTAGCAGAACTGCTCTATTGAAAATATCAATATTTCAATATAACGTCTGACGTTATTTGATGAACAGTTTTAGTACTTACAGCTTACACGCAAGGTTTCACACTACAAAAGGCCCTTAAGTGGCTCATAATTTAATTGAATTTTCTCATTCCCTTTTAACTCAAAGAAGAGAAATAAAGTGCTTTACAGATACAAAAAGAATATATACTTTCAATAAGTTTTCTTTTGTTTCATGAGAGATGTTATAAGAAAATACTACAAAAGATTCGATGAACAGGATGGGTGGGTAATCATTGTAATGCTTCTAAAGCGTACACTGGCTTCTACTAGTTTGGTAATCGCTACTCTCTTTCAGAGATGATAATAATTTAAATGCAAGACATCTTCCCATTCCTAGATATATCGATCAATGAAAGAAAGGTCAGCTTCTTTCTGATGAAAATATATCTGGATATGACACATCAGTATTATTACAGTGTGGAGACCTCAACTGATATAAATTCGCGTGTTTATCAAATTTCAGATTGTAGAATAGGTTTGAGTGTTGCATAAAATCGAAACGTGATTCCAATACATTTTCAACGTATTTTCATTATAGATTCGATATCCATCGATTCAGTTGAATGGGGAATTTCCACCAGTTTGCAACAACACTCCGTGTCGTACCAATAGGGAATACGACCCAAATTTATTTTTGTGGCTGTGTAAAGACACTGGCATGAAATTATCAGATTTCATAGTTATCATACGATTTGTTCAACACTCATTCTGAGCAATTGCAATTGAAAATGAGCTGAATTCAAAAATCATATTTTGATTTTATGCAACCCTCAACTTCAATACGATGGAGGCATATTTTTGCAGGCATCTATCATTATTTTGAAGTAATCAAATATCTGTCAGTCTAATTCTGTGATTTGGTATCAAGAGATTGCAGAACTGCAGTTCTTGCTCGGTGAAGGTGTTATGGAATTATTCATATGTACATATATATCCGGGAAAATAGTTATCTGTTTAACTAGGCAGCAAAGTAGTAGATTGACTGCCGAGGCTGAATTCATTGCCGAGCGTAGCGGGGCTAGGAATCCAGCTAAGGCAGTCAATCTACTTTGCTGCCGAGTTGAACATATGATTTTTTCTCCGATTGTTCATAATGATATATCTCTTTATTTTTCCTGTAGTGTTCAATTAAAATGAATTTTGATAGAAATCGCAGTTGTTGGAATGGTTGGTTGCTATGGAAATGTCCATAATAATTATAGTTTGACAATTCATGAAATTTCTGACAGTTGTGCGAAAAAATATCGGTATATTTAAATTATTATATAATGGACAGTGATAGCGACCTGAAAGTACTTAAACCTCCAGAAATAAGAGAGGTGGCAAAAAATATAGAGTTGAATTTGTTGCCGGAGAAGTCTCGGATGAAATATGAAGGAAATTATAAGCGATTTATGGATTATCAATTTTGCTGATACATATAATCAGCAAAGTAACCACTTTGCTGCCTAGGCAGGAGAAGTAATACTTTGCTGATTGATATGTGTCAGCAAAATTAATATTTGCTGCCAATCGGAAAAGAAAGTAATTTATGGATAGTGAAATTTTTCAACCTGTCAATAGAGATGGAATTCCGAGCTTTTTTCGGTCACAGAAAAAACACACTGAAATTTTGACGTGTGTCAGGAATTGAAAAAAATATATTCTTGCTTAATTTTACTCAGCAACTTGCTTGACTATGAGTCGACACAAAGTAAATGGTCAAATGGATTCACGTAAAGACAGCAGTAGCTAACGTACCATGAATTAATCTATAAATTGAATAACATAATTGACTAAACAGATACAGAATCATTTCCACGCAATGTTCATAAAATGAACAACAATGGTAGATTTCGGGAGAAAAACAACTACTATTCTAGCTAATGACACGCAGAGCTAATGACACGCAGAACATTAAATTCCATATCTATATGTATCGACTCGTATAAACGAATACTGATACTAGTGATTTTCTTCTGAATGCCTATTGTTATCTAGCGTGGTCTGGTTAAATCGAAATCAATAGGCATTCAGGAAAGAATTTCTCATAGCAGTTGAAGACACAATAACTTCCAGTTGTGGGATGCGAAGTTTCTAAATCAGTGTCAGAACGAAATATTTCACCTTTTTGTTGTAGTGGGCCTAGTACTCTTCGAGCCATACTTGCTGGTGTACTTATCGCCGATGCTCTGCACAGGCTTCTTCGTGGGCTTGTATTTGGTAGGCTTCTTCATCCGCGTGACCGAGCCAGGCTCGGTGGTGAACTGCCACTGCAGGTTCACCTCGTTCTCGTGGTGATCAGCGTTGTGATTGGAGGTGATGAAGGCCGGTTCCGTGCTCATCTGCCAGCCAGGCTTGGTGTAGATGGAGATGCCGTTGGACACTGCGAAGGAGTCGGTGCTCATGCTCATCGGTCGTATGCTATGCCTGAAATTCATCTGATATACACGAGGTTTTTGCAATGCTATTACTTTGTTCATAGATGTAAGTACAATTGAAGACTTAGGTGTGATCCTTATTGATAGTAAACTTACTTTTGATGAGAATATAGATAAGATTATTCAGAAGGCGATCTCAGAAATTTGGGCTTTATCTTCAGAGTTACTGCCAATTTCAAACGAGCAGACACCTTATTTGTGTGTGTACTCGAGAAGACAGTATTCTGATATTTGCTTTGTATACAAACCATTTAATGGATACATTGATTCACCTTGCTGTATAAAATGTTCCAGTTCAAATTGTACAGAGTAAATATACGTAACCAGATTTTATTTGTTGTTGGTAGAAGGTCAACTTATTTTCTTCAGAACTCACTATTTTATAGATGTTGTAAATCATACAATACTATTATGACTAAAAATGTAAACCTGGATTAACTCTCAAATAACTATTGTTACTTCAGAAGACATTCAAAGCACAACACTGTATTCTTGGTAGGAAGAAGACAAAAATGTTTATATATCTATATCAAATATGGTATTCATCTCTAATACCTATAGATGAAGAATAATGTTAAATGGTGCACAATTCCAGTTTGATATTTTTTTTATTTTGTGCAACTCTTTTATTGGGCAGCTTGGCTGCTTGTTCACGTAAAATGGAAATAAAATAGATGAAGAAACCCGCAAAGTCATCTCCATAACATTTATTTGGAAGATCAGAGATCACTAATAACGCAGTACATTTTTAGGGCTTATTCAGGGTGTGATTTAATTGATGGCAAAAAATATATGATATGGTTCCTCAGCTTACTCTGCGGAGATAAGTTATATGAACATTTGCCCTAAACCTCTTAACTTACGAGCTATAGGGTGTATGCCAGTCAAATAAGACATTAAAATCGCAAAGCGTGGTGTGGTTCTGATTTTCCGGAATGTTGTGAGGGCCTGTGAGAGCAGTGTGAACCCAAGTTTACAGCTTCAAAAAACCTGTGCTCGCTTTGTAATACGTAATAATCGGCAAAATATCTGGACTTTTTTCAGATGTTGCGTAATAACTCATAAACTATGCTTTTTTTCGATAAAAGATGGGATAACAGTTTTTGAAGTGGAATGAATATAGAACACTTTCAGTAATTGCAAATTTGTACGTTGAATGGTTTCCGAGATATAGTACTTTTTGCAATTTGCAAATTTTCGTAAAAAATATGAATTTTGAGTTTTACTCTTGTTCCAGGCCGAATAACGACATCACCACTCAACCTACAGAAACATCCTTAGACATACAATTGTACTAAATTCTTGAGTCTTTCATTTGAGCACAAATCAGAGTCTCTAGATCTGATAGTTTTCTTGAAATTATAAGAAAAAACAAACTGCAAAGTTGGATTTTTGAAGAAATGAGATGAAACATTTCATATAACAATTTGCTCGATAATTTGTAAGCAGTTGACGTGAAAAAATGCGGAGAATTGTGAAGAAAATGACCTTCTGGTGAGGACCATGAGTTAGAACTCATGGGATGGACGTTTACCCATTCTACCCATCCTCATCGCCCAGTTACAGATTTTGTTACTTTCAGTCTCATCCAGTTCTCCATCCCATTTGTCTCTCATCGATTTTTTTCTTCAATACCTACAGAGCAATCGTTTTTAGCTATATCACCTACACATTGAACCACTTTGACAGAAAAGTGTTAGTAGTTTTTTATGCATTTCCTGAAGATTTCCGCAATACGATTGCCTCGTTACGATACCCTATTTTGCAACGAAATTGTGTTTAACTTTTCAAATATCATCACCGATTCCAATAAACGACGCCTCATTGATCAATTGTGTTCTGCGTTTGGACTTGAGGGCTTTGAATCTGAGATAACGACAGATGATGCAGACTGTCACATAACCTACGAGAACGTGATCGTGGTTGGGAAGAATGTGGACCTACTCCTTCCGAAATGAGTACTACTAGAGAAAAATTACAGGAGTGTGTCAAGTTGCACTCAGTTTCCCACCACTTCTTTCAATCAAGGAGGAATTGGATTGAGCTCTGGATTCGAACTCTTTTTTCACGCATTCAGCAGATGCGATACCACCTCTATTCAGCAGATGCGATACCACCTCTGCTATTTTCTGGCAAGGGGAACCAAAGTTATGGAGTATTTTACAAGAAAACCCGGAAACTGATAGACCTGGCCACCGTGTTTTTCCTCCAATATGTCAGTCACAAGGCAATAGCCGGAGCTGGAGGCATTTTCCTAATCGCTCTATATGCAAGAGACGGAAAGATAAATCTGGATCGTTTGCTCCCAACCAAAGAGGCTGCTTCCTTCCATTCGTATCGCACATACCACCTAGAGCAAACGGGGGTAAAGTTGGTCGAATAACTCTCATGGTTCAATTCCATATTGATGGTTATCAGGTTATCTATACCTTCCTCCTGTCCCTATCCTCCCTAGGAACGCACGATGTTCTTTGAACATTATAGGGCTTTCCTTTCGTGCGCTCCAAGTGAGGCCCGAAATAAATACAACATAATCTTGACTATGGAAAATGTCATTCATCAGAGCCATCTTTCACTGAAATCACAAATCTTAGCAGCAGGATATCCATGCAGCAGAACAGCTCTGCGACTTTCCATTATAATCCTGTAATGCAACTCCTGCTGAATCTACTTACCTAGGCGGCAACGTCGGATTCCTGCCGGAAAACCCCAGCTTCTCGTTAGCAGATGGCGCCATCGTCTGCAAGGACGTTGCTAAAGGCGATCGCGTAGGATAGTGTTGAGCTTGAGGTCGACTGAAAGAAAGTAAAAGTTGAAAGCGAAAACGAAAAATGTGAGCGACAGGTAGTCATCGACATCAGAATACCGCTATTGTCGGTCCGAGGAGGCATGGAATTATTCGTGATCATATTCGATCTGACAATCTTTTGTTGTGAGGCCGTTATGGCACGGCGGCGAGGGTGACTATTCTATATCTACATCCTTATGGTGTTTATATACTATCTACAGTCATCTATGATATCTATTAAAATTCACAAAGTTACTGTTATATCACCCGGGTATCAGAAAAAAAACTTGAATATGATAGTGGCGACTCGTGCTGCTCTCAACAGGGGAGGCTGAATGGGAAGTGTGAATGTGAAATTCAGAAATTCTACGAAAAAAACTGACGACAATTAGAAGGTTTCTATTGTTCATAAGAACGACATAACAATACAGAAAAGGTGTAAGTAGATTTATTTTTGATCGTGTTTAATAAAATTCTGATATTTTGTTTTTGGATTAATGATAAATTGATATTCATCATACAGGACGTGGAAAGGAATTTTGAATTGAGAAAACCAAATCACGAATCTGCGATTGAAGGTCTATAAAGTTTGAACCCCTCGATTGGATGGAAGTATTGAGAAGGAATATTCTCAGATATAATTATGAACATGAAAACATGGATACCTACATTGCGAATTCGCATTGTCTATATGTGATGAAGATATCAATTCCTACTCGATTTATTCAACAGAAAACAACTACTTTTCTGGCTATATGTTACGACGAACATCGAGTTATATATCTATTGAACACACACGATAAGAGTTTGAAAACAAAACCTTCTGGAGTAGAGAATTTGCATTCTCTTTCATATTAAGATATACGTATAATATCATTCTGAAAATTCAACAGAAAACAACTACTTTCCTGTCTATTCGCCACGTCGAACATTGAATTATATTCATTATGATTCGATCTTACCACACTTAGATTCGAATAATATTGATATTTCCATTCATATATAGAAACGAGGAAAGGAAATCCCGAAAAATCTGAAAAAATTATTTTTCCAAGATATTCTGCGATAAAAATTTCAATGATGCCTCGTATCATTGACTATACATTTTCTCTATTCCATGAATAACTGTTGGAGCTCAACCAAAAATGGATACCTACCTACATACATACATTTTTCACTCGATATGCTTGTTTTGGAATTTGTTGAATAGAACAAACTACATTATAGGATGTCAGTATGATTGATTGATTGCGATCACACTTGCAGAACTATCAACTATTCATTCAGTTAATAGGTCATATATGTTCGTATATGATTTATGGCAGCAATAGAAATACATCAATGGAAAATTAGTGAATGATTTCTATTGGATTAATGTAAGATTCAGGTATTCAGTTTGAAGTAAAAGGAAAAAGCTAGGATCAATGTTAGATCATTTGAATATAGAGGAATGATCTAATCAAGAGGATGAAAATCAGACCACAATGTCCATTTGGATTCAGACCCACTACAACAATCAATTCTTGTTTATATAGTCACTGAATGAATAGGTGAAACGGTGATGATATTGATGAAGAGTTCGATGGGATCATTGCGATTATTTCTCATTTTTTTTCCTTAAATGCTCCAAAACTGAGACACAGGGCGTTGAGGTTATTTAACTTGTTATAAGTTTATTGTTGTCACTTTTATGAACATTGATTTTACAGGGTGAAAATTGTAACTTCAGAGCCGCCTAGCGTCCAAACTAAATAACTTTGTACTGACGTGAGTTTGCTTGTATTGAATTGTTTTGGTCAGAGGAATATGTGGTAAGATTTTGTGAAGATCATATAGGGACACCCTGTATACTGCTCCATTATTTGTTTGTTGTTGTTTTTTTCATCACAAATCCCCTTGGAACTTTTTATCTGCAGGCATTGGTGGGATTTAAGGAGGGACAATGTCATATGGGAGCTCAGATTCAGATTCAACAAGAGCTACTTCGACAAAAAATTTGATTGATTTGAATTACCAATTCGGCCCAGAATTAGCTCAAAAAACTTAAAATACGATCCTCTTTGCAAGAAAGCACAAAACTTGGCACGCATCTATGATATGTTTCATGTTCGTGTTCTAATTGAACTTGGGAAATAAATTGAGCAAAATTGAAATGGCATCTCAAGAAGATGTAATGTCCTTACGTAAATCATCGGTTGATAGTTGAAGGTAATTCCAAGGCATTAGAATTATCGTAATACATGAACAAATGATATACGTATATACGTAACAAAACTACAGGTTTATGAAACGCCATTTTGAATTCACCCCGATTTTGGGGGAAAAATCATTTCACAGCGTGTTCCCTGAAAGGTTGAATTGAAAATAATTATAAGTAAAATATACATGGTACATAAATAACTTCATGCTTTCTTTCGAGTATGAATGAAGGGGAACAATCTGAGCATGAAAATAACTTAATTTATATGCGATAACAAGGCTGAAGTTTTGGTTATTGATTTCACTCTGGACTTATGATCAGAAGTTTTGCTGTTGAGACGAGAACTTACCTTGCTGGTCTAGGTCTACTAGTACTATAATGACTTAGTGGTTTGCTTGGCTGCTTATTGCTAGTTTGACTATTATGACTAGGAAGACTGTAGAGCACATGGGGCCTATTGACATGGTTCGGTATCACTGAGTTCTGAGTTGCGTTGTAAGCACAACAGGAACCAAACATAAACGTGTCGACGCACATTCCTAAAAAAATAGAGCTTACACAGAAAAAAAATTTGTTTCAAACTACAAATTTCTTGTAAATTCAACAAAATCTGAGTGTCACATATCCACGACAAAATATTTTGTCACAGCAACAAATGTTTTTTGTAATTTTTCAATTCAAAATCAATTTGATGTAACTTAATGATTCAAATTAACAGCAGGAATTGGTTGAATAAACAAAGACTATTTTGTTCCTATAATACAATATCTGCTCTAGAACGATTCAGTTGATTGAAATGATTATAACATTTCATTCAAGTGACAAAATTTTCAGTTTTTCAGAGAGTGAATATGTTGAAATGACAATATATATTCTTCGATCAAGCAAATTGTATCTTGAATTTACAAAATATTCTGCTGAATAATTCAAAAAACATACAATAACTGAATTTAAAAACTGAGAGAAATTAGAGATCAATCTCCTCAGTTGATTCAAGACTATTTGCCAAGACTTGTATAAGCGTCATAAGAAATCCTAGGACAGCATAATATAATTATATAAATGGATGTTTTAGGTAGGTATAAGTACACCCCAATCGAGGCAAGCGTAGGAAGGTTGGAAGAAACGCCACCTCGTGGCAAAAATGCAAAGAGATAATCATTCAACAAAATATTTGTTTGATATAATGTATTTATGAGTTCTGTTCAACTAAGTAATTTGTTTGAAATAACAACATATTTCTTGATAGTGATGTGTTGAATCAACAAGATATAATGTTGTCATGATCAATTCAATTTCGTCGAATTGAAAACAACCTTTGATTGGTTGCACAAGGAAAATTATTGTTGACTCAACAAAATATGATGTTGTATTCAGTTAAATCTTTGTCAAAATTGATTCAATTTCGTCGTATAGAAATGATATGATTGATTGAACAATGGGATAATAGTTGGATCAACAAAATTTGGTTTTATGTCAACTATAAATGTTATTGAATGAAATGAAACTTTTGTTCAAGTAAGCAGATATTTCAATCAAATTATTTTGTCTCTTTGACTAGGTTGCTTATTTGGAATGAACATATATTTTGTTGATTTCGCAAATTGTGTTTAATTTAACAAAAAGAAAATGACCAAAATTATTTTGTTGGTGCAACAAAACTTTTTTTCCGTGTATTAAAAAATGTATGTTCGAATTATCTACATCTATAACTGCATCATTGATATTCCTGAGTTTGCTATTTTGTTAATGACTGATTGTCGTCCTCAAACCATGTAAGAGAAACCGTTCAGAAAGGTATTAGACTATAGAGCTCCGAACTGATTGGAATGAAATGTTGAACAATTATTATTCGTCACTTGAGTGTTGTGACCCGTTTCTCTGGAAAATTTCTGGCCTAGTAGTATAAAAAGGATGGATTCTTAGCCTATCAATTGTTGATGTCTACCCAAAGAATCACTATTTCGTCAAAAACACCCAATTGGGTGATTAATTTGAATAAATTTATTGCTGGACGGTTTTTTTGCCGGTGAGTGTATATTATCAAGTTAGGTTACTTTGCACATAAATATATCCATTCTTATCACCTACAGGGAGATTGAAAATAATATACATACCTATATGATATCCTTCAGACTTTATACACTCGTATACAAACATGCACGTGCCTTCTTGACCATCTACCCAACAAGGCTTCGGACTAATTTGGTATGCTGAAATCAAACAATAAGCATTTCTCATATAAATATAGTGAAGAGCATGCTGCAAATGACATTTTACTGAGGTCATATATTTCGCCAATCATCATGTTTTGTATCAGGAATCTACCATTGCATTTTGACAGCTCATTTTCAAATGAAATGTGAAAGAACTCCATGTACACTGTATGTTTTGGGGGGTATAAAAACTCAAAAACTCTTTAGCTGATTATCTTTAAACATGTCTTCCATGACCATCCCTGATAATTAATTGCCCTACGAATACAAGAGTTCGTGGGAATTATTCACAAGAAAATCTGAAAATTCAATTATTCTTCATTGGCCTTCCACAGCTCAGGTAGAATGATTCAATTCGCCTTAATGGTTCCTCTAGTTCACCCTATAAAATATATGATACACGTTGTTCGAGGATATCCCTCTATATCTTCAACATACTATACAGTATACACGTACATCATGTTTGTATCTTTGGAAATAAGAAGAGACATAGGAACGAGTCACCCCTGGTGGGTATTTATACCGGGTGTCATTGAATATATTAGACAAGTCATAACTTCTAGACCATTAGGTTTATCAAAATGAGAATTGATATAGGTAAATGGTATGTGAAGAGGAGAGTTTTCACATATATTCCACTTTCCGGTCACTTCCGGTTTCACTGGAAATGGCTCCGGTTCTAATTTTTTAAATGGCACACCCTGTATATTGTAACATTTTTGGATTTCTGAGACAATTTTAGTTCAGAATGTGACATTTTCGAAAGTTTTCATGCCTACTTGATTTTTTTGGAGTCACTTTTGAAATTACATCTAGGTGGCCATGATCGGAAGTAAACTAATCTAAGGAACTCAGGTGATATCAGAAAATTACAATCGCGAAGTTTTAGTGACAAGTATGATAGATATGAATAAGACAAGTTGGCAAAATTACATTTTCGTGTCTAACTATTATTTTTCAAATGGCGACCATTTTTTGACAAGCACTTTCCGAAAAAAGGATATTTTGACGAATCTAACGATACTAATTTGTTTACGATTAGATTACAGATAAGAACATAAATTAAATATTACTGACGAAAATACTTCATAATGATTCATTTACTTTTGCCAAGTGTGCCGAGGATAGGGATGATGCATAATATTTTACAGTTATTTCGATCAAGTCTTCTTGTTAATTTTGTTGAATTTGTTGATCCAATCGCAAATAAATTAGTATCGTTAGATTCGTCAAAATATCTTTTTTTCGGAAAGTGCTTGTCAAAAAATGGTCGCCATTTGAAAAATAATAGTTAGACACGAAAATGTAATTTTGCCAACTTGTCTTATTCATATCTATCATACTTGTCACTAAAACTTCGCGATTGTAATTTTCTGATATCACCTAAAGGTCCTTACATTAGTTTACATCCGATCATGGTCACCTAGATGTAATTTCAAAAGTGACTCCGAAAAGTTGGCATAGAAACTTTCGAAAATGTCACATTCTTATCTAGAATTGTCTCAGAAATCCAAAGATGTTACAATATACAGGGTGTTCCATTTAAAAATTTAGAACCAGAAACACCTCCGGTGAAACCAGAAGTGACCGGAAAGTGAAAAATATGTGAAGACTCTCCTCTTCACATACCATTTACCTATACCAAATCTCATTTTGATACTCCTAATGGTCTAGAAGTTATGACTCGTCTTATAGATTCGTTGACACCTGGTATATGATATCGATAATCATAAAAATATACAATGACGTTTTTAAATACCTTGTTCCCTTTTATTTGAATTGACAGCTGTACCTGGGGCAGCTGACCATACCAATATGGCGCCTAGAATGGCCATCCAAAGCATACTTGATCCTGTAATGAAAAACATAATCAAGATGATAGCTACTGCAATAACATATGATATGTTTTCATAATCATAAAAAGTTTCAAGTATACCATAGTAGTTTTCAACGTCATCTTCCAGGTTATCATTTATATCACAAGTAAAGTTTTGAAGAACTGTTAGTGCAAGTGCAAGAACGCATATATTTGAGCAATTCGTTCTTAAAATTGTGCTTCAGGCCGTCTATCTCTCGAGTCTCGATCCAAATTCCAAATCAATTTGTTACAAATGGAAGTGAATAAGATCATTGGAATTCGAAAAGGAAATTTTCTTATTTTATAGTAAAGATGGAGACGCTGATTAGGTACTTGGACAGCAGAAAGCATGCTGAAGCCAATTTGTTTGACAGTCAATCAAACTCGATATAATAATCTTCCAGACCTCTAGTAAATCCAATTTTCATTTCCAGGTCTACAAACTCCTCGTTTTCAGTCAATAATTATTGAAGAACTTGAGTAAAAAAACCTCAATACCAAAGTCCTCTCCCTATCCTCCCATAGCACGCACGATGTTCTTCGACATTATAGGGATTCCTTTTCGTGCGCTCCAGAGGATGAAAGAAAGTTATTTCAATTGTCAAGCCAATCGATTCTCTGAGTTGAAGGGGTTAAAATTATTGTTGAAAATGATCAGATATTTCAGGCATAGATTTATTGAGCATATTCAGCCGATTCAATATTGAAATACATGATTGTATATTTAAAAAAAACGTTGCTCTAGCCATGCATTTTTACTTATCACTGATGAATGTTTCGTCAATCACTTTAGAAGGGCAATACAGAATCGGGGGTCGCTGTTTTCTATCCTAAGCGTATAATTTTCGTTCTTCAACTATCTGATGATTATTGTTCTTGAAAAATAACCAACATAGGTAAACCTTTCACGGGTCACAGAGCAGGGTCAGTTTTAATCTCAATTTCACTGCTTGTCAGTGGAGCAAAGCAAATGCAATATTTGTATAAGTTGTATTTCATGAAAGTGGCGGGTAAAAGTAACGAACTCATTTTTCAGCGCCTGCTAATACTGAATAAATGCAGATGAAATAGAATATTAAAGAGGTCAGTGGGTAAATTACCGTTCAAATATAAACAACACGATGCAGAGAAGGTTATCTATACTATTTGCATACTGTTGATAATGTCACAGTACACCTCCTAAAAGGTGGGATTGTTTGCTTTGCCAGTGTTTCTCAATTCCATCATGTAGGTATTTGAATTATTTGAAAAGACAATCATTATATTTGCAAGCGCGTGTTGACTGACGGTTAGGGTTGGTTCTGAACAAACTGAGTGAAAATACGTAGCAGGGTAACAGTTTTTTCTGGTTCGAGGTCTGAATTTAAGGAATGGTCATCATTTTATGGAGACAGATACATGGGATGGTGGAAATCAAACCAAAATGTACTTTCAAAGGAAGGAAGGAATGCTCGAAGACATCCCTACAAATTTTGTTACACAATCAGGAGGGACATGTTTCGGTCTTATAAAATACCATATTCAGCTTAATTGAAAGTTCTACAATACAAAAAGATTGATGTGAAAGATCGTGAGTTCTTCGTTTTCTGTAGAGAATTGGGAATCCTAGAAGAGAATGCAGTAGGTATGGAGAGTACTATCGTCTGCAGAGCTGTGGATAGGGCAAATTGTTGCTCCCAACAGATCATTGATATGAAGTTGGAATAATGTTGGTGCCAAAATTGATCCTAGTGAAAAGCCGGAATTGATGACAAAGGTATCAGACGATAGTTCGTCCACCACCACTTGGAGCGATCTGCCTGAAAGAAAACTCGATAAAAGATGGCATATCTGAAGTGGTATGCCGTATGATGATAGTTTGTGGAGGAGTGCCAAGCACGGTCGAATGCCTCGGATGAATCCAACGCCACAGCTAGAGATTTCCTAAGTTCTTCTAATGCAGCTTGCCTTATACATATATAAATGGGTGACGTAGACAAGTAAATCTCGAGTTGATTTTCGGTGGCGAAAGCCATATTGGTTATCATTGATGATTCCTGAGCTTTCCAGATATCTAATGAGCTCAATGTTGATGACTATCTCCGTCACCTAGGAGATGACAGGGCGATTGGCCTATAGTTGTTGGACAGGCTTTTGTTTCCTTTTTCATCCAACAAGATGGAAAAATATCCGACTTGTACGAGATAACTTACAGAGAATAACTTACAGAGAATTGGTGTCAATTCTGGTGCACACTTCTTGAGGAAAATGAGTGGAATCCAATCAGGACCATTAACCTCATTCGTTTTCAGACCGAGCAGAATGCGTCTGATAGATGAAGATATTTCTGGTATTCGACTCCCAACGGGTAGAATGTCTGGTGGCACTCTTCTCTGGGAATCTAAGGTCGAGTTTGCTGCGACCATATTTTTTTTTATCGCTTGGAGCGCATGAGAGGAAATCCCTATAATGTTCAAAGAACATCGTGAGTTCCTAGGGAGGATAGGGACAGGAGGTATATCTGCAAAATTGTTCTATTTCTAAAACAAAAGGGAGCCATTGGTACAATCTATGAGTTTCGATCATATTTTGGCATTATATGACTTTTTGATGCATATTCTGTTTTGCTGCAGTTATTTCTGGCTCCACCATATTCTGCTCTAGTCACGAGGTTAGGGTCCTTGCGCCAGAGATGTAACAGCTCTAGAACAGATTTTTTGAAACTAGGATTTCGGAGGTGAAGGTCTTCTCGAAGAATGAGCAGGTATGAATGTGTCCATTCCAAGCATGATGATATCGAATATTTCCGCAGCACACTGTGAAATCCTCAGAATCAAAGCATATTCTATGTCAAGAAAACATGCGGAGACCATCCCAGTTTCCTGAGATTTAATACCATACAAGACGTGGGGGTGCTGGAGCAGTTGATGACATAAAAAATCGGTATAGGTTGTGGACATGAGTGTGTGATCAGAATTACCCAGTTGAGCTCGTTCGCTATGGTGTATGGTGCTGAATTATCCGTGAGGAATAAGTCAAGTCTGTTGGATGGTTCTGCTGAATTAGGTCAAGCTACAGGGACAAGAACTCGAAGTGCTCTTTATAGGATGAAGCATTTGGTGGTGAGTAGAAACAACAAAGATATTTGGTATGTTTCTGACTATCAAGTTTGAATCACATAACATCAAACTTAGGTATTTGGTTCCAAAGTTTTCTCTCGATGACATGAAAGATTCGTTCTAGAATAGAGGCAGAGTCCTCTCTAGAACCTGAAACGGGTTACAGAAATCAGAACAGGGCCAATATATCTGGCGGCTCTTCATTTTGAAGGAGTCAATTGACAATGTTGATGTTCTTACTCAGACCATGGATGTTGAGAATTATTTTGAGGTTTATCAGCAGATGGTGAACCTCCTCTAGCACCTTTCTCCTGGAAAGCCGAATGGAGAGGAATTTCATTTCGGGATAATTTCACATGAACTCATCATCGCTTTTTCATTATTGAAGAGGAATAAGGTTAGCGTGGAAGGAAAATGAAAATGGATTCCACTTATTGGCATCTTCTTAGTCGCCTTCTATGTGTTTATTTCGATCCGACTGCTACACGGTATTGCAATGATATATCATTCCTGAAACATGGATTCCTGTAGATCATGATGAAGGCGAGGGTCATGGCGGAAATGATTTTTCTTAGTCAAGTGCTATATCTGGGTGTGAAAAAAAAGCATTTGTTCTGCCATTGCCTATCATGATCCTTTTCGGAAAGATCCTAATTGATGGTTCATCATGAGAGTTGAGAATTCGTACTCATACATCAATTACAATAAATATGAAAGTTGTTATAAATTTGGTTTCGCTGTAGGGTTGTAGCTACACAGAATTGATAATTCATTAGAGTTAATACAATAAAAAACTTGATCCCTGAGGATATATCCTTGGATTCGATTAACTTCGATGATTGATAAATCGTATTCGATCCGAATTGAAAGTTTTCTCTCTGTGGTATCTCGAATCACATTTATAAGGCAAGCATGGGCGGGGAAAAACAACTATCTGCGTTTCATCACACTAATTTAATTTTATATGCTCTCATAATTGATAGGTACTAAATTAAATATTCATTCAATTGCACGTTGAAACAGGTGGCATGATATATTTAATAATACGTAATTAGTCGTACTGAAATGAGCGATTTTTTAATGAGGAGAATTTCTCTACAAGTAGTAGGAGAATATATTCTCAAACGGGTGAACGAATGCTATTTTTATATCAAGAAAGCAGAGGACTCCAATAGTTTGAAAGACTCAGAATACTGAAATCATGCAACATGTGTGTACCATTGATCTGAAATTGACCCAATTGGGCCCAACCCAGGTGTTTGCTTTCAGCAAACTCATAATCATCAGAAGTATCGAATTTTCTCACAATATGGCCAGACTTCTAATAATAGATAATTTGTGGAAACGCTCATAACCTGACGAAATTCAAGAACAAATTTCATTCATAGGTCAATATCATGACGAATTTTGAGACACGTTTATGTGTACTTCAAATCTAAATGATGGTCATAATAAGATGTGAAAATTGATATAAAGTCGTTCAAGTAAAGTTTGGAGCTTCAGTAACTGAACTGAATTCCTTTGGGTATGCAGTCAAAGTAAATATATATACAGGGTGTCCCTGAATAAGCCTGCCAAACTTCACCACCGGTTTCTACGCCTCAAAATAGGAAGTGAAGTTTCAATAATGAACAAGAGTCGAGAAATGTCTCCTGAGGGAGCTATGGCCCCCTGAAAGTGGGCTCCCAAGGATGATGTTTCTTATTGAATATTTCCGAAACGCCACGTGATAAAATGATGCGGTGAACATAAAATAATATAGGGTGGAACTACATTGACTATTGATCAAACTTTTCTGTATGCATATTTTTAGACAATTGAATCTCAGGTGTCTTCGGACTTGTTCATATCAATTGGAATCAATAACTATAATCTTCCGAATTGACTCTGCCGTTACTTAATGAAAAT